AATCACCTTATAATTTCATTTTATTAAAACATCTCATATATTTTACAACTTATTTACTTAATCAACCTTTCATTAAGGAGTGTTTATTTTTTCATTAGGCCCATGATTTTTATTCCAAAAATACCCTTAACACTTTTTTTTGTACAAAAAAAAACAAAATTAACCAAATATAGCCAATAGAATGGTTGYCCGTGCCTTATAAAGGGCAAAAATGATATTCTTATTTTTATTTTCTTTTGATTCAATTTATTTAAATGAACATTAGCGTCAACACTATCATTTTCCACTGTCATCTAATGGAAGATTGATTAAATTCATTGCAAATTATAAGTGGTGTTTTAGTAAAATTGAAACTATAGGGTAGATTTTAGTAAATTCATAAAATTATAAGGGGTATTTTAGTAAATGACCCTTTCTATTATTTAACTTTTGCTTAATAAATCTTGTGCATCACACGGGTCCCGCTAATATATATTAAAACAATGAAGTCTTTCTCCTTTTTCTGAATTTTTTAATCCATGTCATTTTCAAAACTACCAATTAGAAACTCTACTTTCCCAAAAAAATCATCCTAAAATCTCTCTCTCTCTCTCTCTCTCTATATATATATATATATCCCAGGTTCCAATAACCTAAATAATCTAATATCCTAAAATTTATCCTAAATAACCTCCCCAACTTTCTCCTAAGTTACCGATAATTCAGTAGAGAGCTTTCTCCTAAATGATCTATAGTTATTATTTATCTTCTCCCCTAATTTTTATCTACATCTATCTAAAGAAAGTTTGAATTAAAAAAAAAATATTTAAATATTCTAACAAAATTATATAAKAACTTTAAAATATTTATCAAAAAGACAAAATAATTATAATCGATTTAATAATATTCATATTATTAATAATTATATATTTTTTACAAAATTCATCAAGAAATTATGTACAAACAATATAAATTATGATTTTTTAGATTATTCAATCTAAATGTTATTCAAATAATAAAAAAACTAACATTAGAATGAAATATTATTTAAATATTGTAATAACTAAATATCTTCAATAACAAAACATTAAAATTAATATTTTAAATAAATTAGTAATATATTTTAAATAGTTACTGAATAACTTTTAATTATAATAAATATATTAATATTTTAAATATTTAGTTAGATAACTAAATATTTTAAATAACCGAATATTTACCATAAATAGATTTTAAATAGTTAAAATAATAAAATTATGTATTAATGATACTATAAATTTATGGATTATTAAATTCAACAAATAATTAATATTTTAAAATTTAAATAATGATATTATTTCAATAAATAACTAATTCCATTTATACCAATTAATAATTCTAGAACATAACTTTCAAGAAATTATTGTTTATTAATCATAATTTAAAAAACTTAATCTTTATTTCTTATATATTTATCAATACTAAAATTAATATTTATTATATTTCAGTATTTATTTATTGTTTTTTGTGATAAATATATTTTCAATAATTATGTATAAATTTATTTTTGTTTTGTTATTTAGTAGAAAGTTTTCAATAATTATTGGAGTTTAAATTACTATTAATTAGCTTTGTAAATTTAATTTGTTGTGTATTTTTGCTATAATTTTTTAATAGTTATTGGAGATTAAATTATTGTTCATAGGTTTGTTCGGTTCAGTTGTAGGTTGTTTGGCTAACCAAATCTACCTGGTCAGTTTGGGGGGTTGGTCACTCAAGTTATATCGGTTTGGGTCAATTTTCGGTTTGGCAGTTGGTTCAAAAGATTTAAACGTAAAAAAATAAATTTAAAAATTAAGTTTAAATTAAAAAATACAATCACATTATTAAACAAATAAATTTTAAAAAATAAATTTATGATATAAACTATTTTAGCCTAAGAAATATTGGACTTTTCCCACTTTCACATATTAAAAAAATATATTTAAAATATAAAAAAGAATATATCTATGGTCGGGTCGTTCAATTTTATTCAGTTTACAAATGGCCAAAGGGAAACTGATCCAACCTAGTCAGGTTGGGAAATTTTTGAACCAAAGCCAATTGGAAAGATTAGAAACCGAGTTGGTTAATTTCATTAGTTTGATTCAGAATGGCAACGGGATGGGGCGGGGACAAGGAGCCTCTCCCCATCCCCGACCTCGTGAAAATCCCTATCCATGTTCCTGTCCCCATCCTCAACATTTAGAGATCCAAAGTTCGAGAGCTTCATCTTTTGAGTTTAACGTGAAAGCATAGAGGTCTTGATCATGGATAAAACTTGACGTCAAAATAGAGGCAGGCCAAACTTCTTTTGCATCAACTCTCAATCCCATGGTTCAACCGTTATTCCTTTTTTAGACGACCCTGAATCAACCTAGAGTATGTAATAGCTCTGTCATCTTTTCTCTTCTTCTTCAGGTAAGCTCCCCATGCAAGTAATCCGGTTATCAGATATCATCTTGTAATCTCTCATCCGATAATTTCCCTCTCGTTAATCTGGTTGTAACCTCTCATCCGATAATCCCCATGCAAGTATTCCGGTTTAATTTTTAAGTTAAAATTTTTTAAATCGAATGACCAAATAAAAAAGTCGACCCATATCGATACAACTTGAGTGGATCAATTTTCACAAATGGTTAGTCAGTTTCAGTTGACCAACTCCAACCTGACCAGGCCAATTTGGTTGGCCAAACAGCCTACAACTGAATCGAACCAACTCATGAACACTTATAATTTCAGCTAAATTAATAGTCTCATATCTGATAAATAATAATAGTTTAATCTCCAATAATTATTGAAAATTTATAGCGAAAATACAAATTATTGAAAATTTATTGATAATGAAAAAATAGAATAATTAAAAAAATACAATAAGTACTAAAAATATATTAAATTTGTCAATAAATAGTATAATCTCAAATAATAGTTTAATCTCTAATAAATATTAATCAATAAGCTATAAAAAAATACAATAAATACAATAAGTACAATAAATAAAATTTATTTATTTTAATAATAGTAGTTTAATCTCCAATAATTATTGAAAGTTTGCTGTTAAATAACAAAACAAAAATAAGTTTATACATAATTATTGAAAATACATTTATCACAAAAAAATAATTATTAAAATACAATAAATATTAATATTAGTGTATATAATTATATAATAAATATATATTAAGAGTTTAAAATTATTATCAATAAATACTAGTTTTTATGAAAGTTATTTTCTTGAATTATTAATTGATATAAGTGAGATTACAATATTATGTAAAAATATTAAGTTATTATTAAATTTATTTCATTATTAATTTTGTAAAATATTAAATTATTATTAATTTCATTATTATGTTATAATTATTTTTCTACTTTTTAGATTTTGTTTTAAATTTATTACATAAATTCTTTATTTTAACTAATTTAAAATTTAGTTATGATAAATATTTTGCTATTTAAAATATTTAGTTATTTAAATACTTAATAATATATAAAATATTTAAAAATAAAAATTATTTATGAAATTTAATAATCCATAAAATTATAATTTATACTATTATTTCATAATTTCAATATTAATTTTGTAAGATATTAAATTATTACTAATTTTAATATTATGTTATAATTATTTTTCTACTTTTAAGAAACTTTTTAAATAATTTATTTATTTCAACTATTTAAAATCTTGTTATGTTAAATATTTAAATAATAATTAAAATATTTAAGAATTTTTGTTATTTACTGAATTTAATAATCGATAAAGTTATAATTTATACTATTAAGACATAATTTCGTTTTGATTTTTTAAGACATTAAATTATTATTAATTTCTATATAATCTTATAATTGTTTTTCTACTTTTTAGATTTTTTTTTTAAATTTATTACATATTTTCTTTATTTTAACTATTTAAAATCTTATTATGTTAAATATTTAAGTAAGATGTAAAATATTTAAAATTTTTTGTTATTTTAATTTTATTTATTTAAATGTATTACATAATACTAAATATTTTGTTATGTAATTATTTATATATTTCTAATATTTTGTTATTTAAGATATTCGTTTATTGAAATATTTAAGTAAGATTTTATTTTTTAATGTTAAATATTTATTATTTGAATAACATTTAAATTGATAATCCGGAAAAATAGAATTTAAATTGTTAGTACATAATTTCGTGATATATTTTGTATAAATTTAAAATTATTTTTTTTTTATTTTTAATAAACATTTTAAAGTTACTATATAATTTTGTTAGAATATTTAAATAATTCATATCTTAAAAAATTAAATTTAAATTAAAAAAAAATATAATGGCATTATTAAAAAAATAAATTTATGATATAAAATATTATAGACTGATAAATATGGGAATTCCCTAATTTTTTATATTAAGAATATAAAATATTAATATACATCTATGGTTGGGTGGTTCGATTTTGGTCAAATTACAAATGGCCAAAGCAAAACTAATCCAGCTTGGTCGGGTTGGGAAGTTGTTGAGCCAAAGTTGACTGAAAATACGAGTTGGTTGGGTTAGTCATTTCATAATTTTGATGAAAAACTTAGCTAAATTAGTTATTGTTGTTTTTGTATTGTAAAGTATTATTAAAAGTAGTATATAAAATATAAGGGAAAATCTATGAAGTGGAAAAGAGATGGTATCAAAGAGTTTTGACCAATCAAAATCCATCCATGTTTTAATTGAATCCTAAATATAAATAATTATTAAATATTTAAAAATTGAAAATATAAAAAAATTGTATACTTTTTACGTATTTCTACTTTACGGGACCCGGCTTGTTTATCATAATTCATAAGAACCGAAAAAAAAAGTGGTTGTATGTTATGTCCGGTGGTTTACATCTAACAATCCTTCTCCGTGTCTTTCTTCCAGAAAGGCAGAAAGCCAGACGTCTCTGGTCGAGCTTTGCTCGTTCAGACGATCGATGGCGGAAGAAGAGGTACTCTTCGAAGTCGAAGCTGTTCGAGCCGTTTACGATGACGATTGTCTGGTGATACAGAACCTCCCGCCCCATCTCCATATCCATACTAGACCTCGAACGGCCGACGATTCATCTCAACAGGTGATTTACATATCGTTAACCTATTCATTCTCTTCGACCACTTGCTTGTGATTTTTCTGCGATTCCGGCAGGCATTTATAAAATCAAGATAGTCGATTTTGGTTTCAACCTGGATACAATTTTGGGTTTGATGTTGAATCTTTCAGTTTTAGATATAGCATACTTGGGTATATTAAATTTTGTCATCTACAGTGAACGGTGTCAAACCCAAGTATCTGTGTATTTAGTTGCTTACTACTTAAATTAATTTTATATGCTTACACATCCATATACGCATGCTTACGTTACAAAGGGTATGACTTTTGATTGATTGACCTTCATATAAGATTTGCAACTTTAAGTTGATATTTTTTGGTCGTGTAACAACTTCATTGATTATACATGAAGATGAAGCTGAAGCACAATTTATCCTTCTTACAATTCTCTTAAGCATTATTTGAAAGAACGTTTGATGTTAGTATGTTACATAAACAGGGTGTTGGATAAGGAATTTAGACTAAGAAATGAAGTATTGTACATGATACGGTACCCTTGTACTGGTATMCTGAGTGTCATGGTTATATAGACTAACTTGTGACTAATAAACCACTTTGGAGAAAATCCATAACCATTAAAGATTGGAGAAATCTAGTAAACTGTATAATGCCCAGGTAATGTTGTTTTACTTTAACTTCTTCTTTGACATGATATAGTTTGCTGGAAGTACCTAGCAGAGTTTCTGCAAAGCTCTTGATTATAATCTCGTGTATACACCCTATTTTTTTCTAATTTCCTTTTCTTTTCTGTTTAAATTTTTATTTATAAGTCTAAGAATAAAGAAGATAGAAACTTATTGGATTTCCCCAAAACTTGACCATTCTTGCATTCTCCAACATGGAAGGCTTCGCTCGYTCGCCCCTCCCTATTAATGACTTGGCTGAGATTGTCGTCCAAGCAACTGGACCAAACACATGGATTGGCGGATCAACCCAGCGCCCTAACCAACAAACAAGCGAGAAAACTACAGTGCGCGCTAGCGCACGAAGCATGATGAAAAACGTGAGCGCGCTAGCAACAAGCAACGGATTGAGCTCTAGCGCTCAAGCCGTTGCGCTAACGCGCAGCCAGCGCAACGGCAGCACGCTAGTGCTCAATCCGTTTTGAATCTTGCTGCAACGGCAAAGCGCGTTGCGGCGTCCTAGCGGGTGCCTGAACTTGCAGCCTTAGCTTGCTCTCAGGCAACAAGCAATGGATTGAGCGCTAGCACTCAAGCCGTTGCGCTAACGCGCAACAAGGAACCAAATGGAGTCTCATTGAAATGGTACATTATATTGTCTCGACTTTTATCTTTTGTACGGCAACAGCAAAGTATGCCTAAGTATTTTTAACAATTGACTTTTTTTTTGTTGCAGTTTGTGGAAGCTATTCTTGGAATACGAGCTGGTCCCCAGGTGCACGTTAACATATAATTATTGGAACATTTATGCTATCAGCTTTAATATATTTCATCATCGTCATCATCATCATCATCATMATAATAATAATAATCACCATGCCTTATCCCAACTATATGGGGTCAGCTACATGAATCCTGTTTCGCCCCATTCTATTTAAAGCTATCAGATTTAATATATTTGCTATACCCAAATGAAATAGATTACTTGAGCCTCCAGTGGATGCAATAAGCCATTGAAATGAAATGGATTTATTTATTTCTTGTTTCCTTTAAGCAAGCACCCTCAAGGGAAAACAATATTTATAAAGGAAACTGTAATGTTTTGCTCTGAACTTCCCCCATGCTCATTGACTGGTTTTTTRATACTATGCTGTTTGACTATCACTATAAAGATATTTAATGTGGTAGCTTTTCTACTATTGTTTATGAAAATGCACCATGTTCTTTTAGGATGTTTTATAGATGCCATATCCAAAGAAGAAGGGATGTTGGCGAAGTCGATATAAGCTTTCGTTTGCTTTCTGTAATATGCAGATTTATAATTACAAAAAAAAGAAGCATATGTGTAAGTAACTCAACATGTGCTAATTTACTTTATTTTCTGTAGCAGTATCCCAAGGAACTGCCTTATATTGATATCATAGAATCCAAAGGTCTTGATGGGAAGCGACAAGCACATTTACTAACTAGGATACAAGAAAAAGCCCATGCACTCTCCTCCTGTCCAATGCTCGTAGCACTTTGTGAGGTAACTGTTGATTCAATTTAGATCTAGCAAATCTGAATATCTGATTGATTTTGGATTTTGGAAGGTACATGGATGTTATTGTTCAACTAAAGATGAGAAAGACTTAAAGGAAAGTTACTTTGTAGCTTGCATACTTGGTAGGAAAGTTACCTTATGTAACAACATTTTCCCTTAGGAAAACATGTTTCCTGAAGATGCCCTTTCCATTCGGAAAGGCATCTCATGAGAGAGTATTCTGTGGAAGATATTAGACACTTTGGTCATATGATATATCCTGTTATTGTATATAGTTGTATTGCTTGTTTTGTCTAACTCACAACTTTCCTTGTTATATCCTGGACGATTCTCTTAAGAATGGTTCATGCTATGTTATTTGTTGCTTTGTATTTGATTTGTAGCATTTACTAGCTTGCATTTGTCAGACTATGTTTCCAATGTACTTAGAATCATGAAACACTTTTCGTGCCTACCCTTGAAGTGTTTGCATGCTAATCAAAGATTTCCTCTCACCTTTGCAATTATTTACATGACCATGCTATATTTCCAATATATTTGCAAATTATAAAGTATTATTGTGCTTTTAATTTGTTTAATTTCTTTTGATAGCATACAATCAGAAATATCTTCTATTAGCTTCATCTTAGCAAAAGGAAAAGTTAGAAATTATTTGATTGAATCCTTTATTATATTTTGATCTTTCTTCTATAAATATTTTAAGAATGTAGCAAAACTTGAAATTTATGGTTGAAAAGAAAACTTTCCATTCATGGAGGTGATTTTTACTTTAAGTAATTTATGTTAGGTGCCATTGCTTGGTGCAATGGTAAAATCTCGTGATGACAAGCATGAGAATGCCACTTTGAATCTGAGAGCAGACCTTTTGTGGCAAAAAGTGTTGGACGTTAGATCTCTATTTAGCCTACCCTTCCCAAAGCCCTACATGGCTGGGACCAAAATTTGATAATGGCCATGTTAATTGCTGTTTGGTTCTTTGGTGCCATTGTAGGTTAGATAGAAACATGCAAACACTCTTAATGAGATGAATCTTAAATCTCAACTGCATAGTTGTCAAGGCATATATGCGATTCTAGGTAAAAGTGGAACATTCCTATCCTAAGTGACATAATTTGACAAAGAGAATTTAAATTCTAGGTTGATTCCCTAGTTTTAGTGTTTTACATACCAATGATCTTGCATATAAATTGAAAAATAACAATTTTCTTTACTAAGTAACAATGAGTTTCATATCAAAACATGGCAAATCATTATACCTAAAAGACAGTAACATTTTAGTTATTGATTTCAATTTTCTGAACACAATGTTATAATATAATAAGCAATGTCATGTCATAAAACTATTAGCAACTAAAGAAGGCTATATTTTTATACTAACGAAGATGTAAGACAGAGATAATAACAAAAAGAAAGGTTGAGCCCCTATTCTTTTTAATAGAGAGGGGTAATTGAAAAAAGAGAAAAATCGATAAAAAAGGAGAAAAAGTGGCCTTGCTCTCTTTTATCCTAACCTTGTTTTTCTCTTTCCCTCTTCTGAAAACCTTGAATCTTTTAGGGGCCATTGCTTGGTGAAATGGTAAATCTTGGGTTAACAAGCATGAGTATGACAAAGGCCACTTTGTGGAAAAGAGCCAAAATTAGGTATATATCCAGTCCACCCCTCCAAAGAATCTGGATAGATAGGACCAACATAGGTAATGGCCCTTTATCAAACACATTTTAATAAGATGCACCCATAGTAATGATATGACAACAAGGCATTCACTTTGTAATTTTTACCTCCTAGGCAGTCACGATACCTTTCAGTAATGGCATTCAGGCTCTGGACAATGTCTTGATAACCATGTTTAACTGCTTCCTGTTTCAACTATCATTTTGTGGTCTTTATGACTTCTATTTGATGCTTTATCTCTATATTTATATCATTAATAACTTTAGGTGAAGCCTTGATAACTATGGTTACCCGCTTCTTGTTTCAACTATCTATATGTGATCTTCATTACTTCCTCGTGATGCATATCAATGTTCAAGCTGCATAGATGTTTTGCATCAGATGGTACAATGTGTCAGATTAAGGATTCCCTGATTCTCCAACACAATCTGTTATTGGTGTCCCAAGAGGGTGACTGCAGAATCTCCAACACAATCTGTTTTGCATCAGATAGTACCATGTGTCAGATTAAGGATTCCCTGATTCTCCCTCAGGCGTGCCTAGGCGCACAGGCGAGGCGCATTTTAGGGTAGGTGCCTCGCCCAGGTCCTAGGCGCAGCCCATTCAAAAGGCGCACACCTTTTTCCTTTTTTTGAGTCTAGCGGCTGGGCCAGTCTTCTTAAAAGCAATTAAAACTATAAAATCATTATTTTTTGTGTGAAAACTCAGAATTTAAGACCCTAACATGGACTTGTTTGGGCTTGCCTCGAGGTGCGTGGCACAAAGGCGGCTCGTAGAATTAGGAATGTAATGCCACATTAGCTACTTGATTTAATTGAGAAAAAAGAGATTGTGGGTTTTATATGCTTGAAAATGTTTTATATGTTTGATTTCATTTTTAAATTCTCATTTGAATATACTTTACATATTCTGTTTATGTATTTTAATTTTAGATAATAGGTTTTTTAAAACATTTATTTTAAAATTTAAGTTTATATTTTTATTAATATTATGTTTTATAACTTTTTGATTTTTTTTTTGAATTTTTTTTAGATTTTTTTTAATTGTGCGCCTTGCCTCAAAAAGGTGCGTGCCTTGCCTTGCGCCTTGTGCCTTTCGCTTTTAAAACACTGTTATGGTTATAACATGAGTAATTTGATAATTATTTTGCATTCAAAAAGTTTTTGTTACAAAGGATAAGAAGGAATTATATCTGTGCCTTATAAGCAGATAAAGATAAAGGTTATCATCATCATCATCRTTATTATTATTATTATTGTTATTATTATTATTATTATTATTATTATTATTATTATTTTGTATCTTGAGATGAACATGCCAAGGTTGAACTCAATTCACCTATATATATATATATATATGAAAAAGTATGTGAAAGAAAGCACCAGTGTCATGAAAGAAAATAGGCCATGGTAACTACTAAATGATATCAATGACCTTGTTTTATTTTTCTGTCTCTGGAGTTGTGTGTGGCATATGTTGTTACTGGTCACATACATATGCTCTATTGCAGTGTTAATTTGCTTCTGCTGAAATAGCAGTTATGTGTAACACATGTACCATGAAAATTTGTAAGTTAGGTACTCATTATCTGAGTATAAGATTGAAGCAATACCCAGATGGATATGCCATTGACATTGAAATATTTGAACTTTTATTTGCTTATCTTAATCATATACTAGAAATAGCTTTCAGTACTTGTGCAATATATTGATTGATTGGAATTTGAATAGGAAGCAGTGGAGACACTCTCTAACATGAACCACCCTGATGGAGATTGCCCATTATGTCTGTATCCCTTGGTTCCAGATGATAGTTATGATGATTTTTTGCCATTTATGAAGTTAATGTCTTGTTTTCACTGTTTCCACAGGTAAACTTTTGTTCTTTATTTATCTTGATCCACTTTTTAGTGTTGGTAAATCAGGAGTTCAGATATTCTGTTTGCCCATTTCCAGTGAATGCATTATTAGGTGGTGGAAATGGCTTGAAGGGCAAAATGAAACCAATGCTGGTAATTCGTCTGATGCATCTGTTCTCCCTTCCAGAGATTTAAGGAGACAACAAGGTAAATATACTTTATAGGAGGGCTATTTTAATTAGATTAAGTAAGACAGAGGTAATGAATACCCAAAAGAAGACAAAAAGGTAATGAGCATAATTATGGGAATCTAGGACTAGCCCCAATAGTCTCCATGGTCTTTGGAGGAAGTTTGGTTTGTCATTTTTTATTTTGCTTGGGGTTGTTTTGATGGAAATGGGGGCTGTCTGCAGCTATTTGTTTTTCTTTTTTCTTTCTTGCTTGTGCTTGTGGTGAATACCATGTCTCATTCTGATTCTTCTATTTTTCCTTCTTTTTAAACCTTGAACTAAATTAAATTAAGAATTGGAGAAGTGTAAAATAACAAGGGAGAGGTCTAGCTTACAGAGGTGCAATTTGGGTTGGCTTGGGTTGGGGATTTGTTAAAACTTAAATGGGCCCAAACCCCAACATGAGTTCAATGTAGTTGAGATTCTTCAAATTGGACAAACAAGAGAAGAAAAGGAGAGCACTCTCACATTGGCGGTGGTGTAGAATAATCAAGCCTCAAGGGTTGTTTTGGGTGGTTCAGTTGGAGTTCAATCTTTTTGTTTTGGTTTTGTTTCAGCGTTGATGTTTGTTGATGGCTGTTATTGTTGGGTTCTTTGGTTTTGGGTTGGTATTCACCTCTTTTGTGTTCCGTCTTTCTTAATAAAATTTTCTTATATATATATTCTGCTTGCCTTTTTTGTCATTATCTTCAATATTTTATTTTTTGTGTGTCAGGTAGTTCCCTTGGATCCAATCTGGTTTTTATTCCCTGTTTTCTCTGTCGTTAATAATTTGTCCTTGTCTGATTTCTTACAAAAGCAATGTTGTATCTGATTTAAAAAGTAGAACCTGCATGATGACTATATCTGTCAATATGATTGTCAAGGTAGACAAACCTCTAAAGTTAGATCCTTAAAAACTTGTTCAATTGTACTTCTGACATTTAAAGATGAATAATGGGTTTACTGTAATTTTATCACATCCAATTTCAACATGTTTCTCACCAAGGCATAGTTGATATATGGTTTAGATGTGCAAGTAATGAAGGAGAATCTGGGAAACTGTCCTGTCTGCCGCAAGGTTTTTCATGCCAAGGATATTGAACATGTGCTCAACTTGGTTGGAACTCATTCATCTCAGTTGGTATGTTTCTATGCAGTTATAATCTTCTGCTTTGCATTGGAACTTTATTAATCTCTTTGCGGGAAGTGTAAGGGGCTGTTCTGATAACAGATGAAGTGGCACTCTATACTCGTAAAAAAAGATGAAGTGGCTGAACTGAAAGACTCATTGCATATAAGTTTTTGAGAAGATTCGTGAATATATATATATATATATTTCACGAATATTTTATTATTTAATTATTTTATCCATTAAATGATGGCAATTTTAGTACGTAAATTAGCTACTTGTCTAAATTTGTCATGCACAGGGTCCTGTACCATGTGATATCTGTGAATGGTTCAGCAGATGTCAAAACATTATTTTAGATAAGAGATACAAAAAGCAAGGAGTTGCATAAACTAAGCATGTCTTATTAAGAGGTAGACTATCATTATGTTGAGAACTATTATTTTAAAATCATGATTTCATATTATATCTCATTGTAGACTGTAGATTAAAAATTTCCTCAGAAAAAGCAAAACCACTTTAAAAGATAAAAGAAGGTAATTTATGAAACTATGCTGGCTGAGATGTCAATGTGGTAAATCACATTTTGGTTTTGGTACGACAGCTTCTGAGTTTTGTGTTTCCTTCTAATCTTATTGTATTTCTCTTGGACCTTTTTTCTTCTCTTTTCTTTTTTATTTATTTTACCAATAATAAAAGCTCTTGATCTTATTACTGGTAACAAAAAGAATCACCATTTTGTTTCACTTAATAATCCTATGAATCATGAAATTTTGCCTTGGATTCCACCTCCTTCCTTTTCAATGAAGAATATAACTGTAGAACTTGAAGCATGATCAACTTATAAATCCAGGTAAACATTTCATAATTTTTTTGAGATTCCTATATGCGAATGCCAACAGTATTTTACTTATCGAAAAAAGCCAACAGTATTTTTATTGTGAACAGAAGCATACTTTTGCACCAAAATAATCACGAATTATTTCTAATTGTTTATTTATTTTGATCCACTGGTTTTAGAGGCCATCTAAAAGTCAGGGAATGCAATTGAATATGATATTGGTAGCATTTGGTGAATATACATCAAGTCCAGATTGAATTTATTGAAGAAAGTTTAAAGTTCAAATCATCTTTAACACTACAAGCTCCATGGGGCCTTTGAATGGGTTGCTGAATGGGCGAATGTGCATCACATATATATTAGGTTCGCATGAAATAAAGCAACCTGCATTTTTATGATGGATAACCGTATTAATGGGCGCAAGCTTATAAATTTTAAGGTCCATCTATACTTCAGATTGTGGTGACTGGACCACGCACATCCAGGATTTATAGAAAAATCTTTAACATAGGATCTAGATTGTGAAGTGGTTGTTACTGTTGAAGTTAATACCAGATATCCATAGAAGGGAAGCTTTTTGATGTTTCTTTTTTTAGATCATGCTCAATATTCACTGATCAAAAAAGGAAAAAAAATTATGCTTAATGCCCCCGAGTTCACAATTTTGTCTATTGCATTCCATGGTACCCATTTCATGGAGTCGGTTTATGTTTTTGCTATTTGTTTTAACAATTACATTCCTATTTTTATTCCAGGTTTTCGAGGAGAGTGAAGCTAATGATGACGAGCTTCTCAAATCTGATGCAGAGAATATCAGAAGGCAGAAATTTGAGGCTATCCTAAAGTTACAACAAGAGAATAGTGGTCTAATTGAACCCAAAAGAAATGAAGTGCTGTTGCCTGGAATGTTTCTTCCGGAATCTGTTAGACCACCCACCACATCCACTGAAGCTGCGGTTGATCCACAGCCTACAGATCCAACTTGCACATCTAAACCTGAAACAATTTCCAGTGATAGCTCGAACAAGCCAAGCACCAGCGAGCACAAAAACTTTGCCATGAGAAAGAAATCAAGAGCTCGGAATCCGAAAAAACAGATAAAAGAATGGGTTAAGAAGGAGCATGTTACTGGGGAATGAGGTGATTGGAGGACCATTTTTTTTTGGGGGGGGGTTTATTTTTTCCAAGTGAGATTTTGTTTCAAGATGAAAAGGTCTTAGTATTTAGGAAAGAAAAGAAAATTGGGGAATATATAATACATGTCAAACAGTTCCAATTAGTTGAATGTATATATTATTTCTTAAAGATGCTGGGCAACCCGCAGCCGTGTCTCCACAGTTATTTTCCAAGCGATTAGCTGAATGTATACCAAGGTTCAAAGTATGGATATATATTGTGCCGATGGCTTTCCGATACGTCCTTCTAGGGGTTGTATCAGATGATGCCATGGTTCAGAGGGTAGCTGGGTTTTAAACCGATCCTTCTGAATTGGTTTTGAAAAAAAAAATAAACAAAACTTAAAAAAAGTACTGCTACAGGCCGATATGCCCTACTTTGAACCTTGTTGTATACTTTATTTGTTTTATATTATTTTTACTATGATAATATTTATGATACTTTTTACTATTATGTTTATTGGTGCCTGAAGCCCTTTCCTTGGAGTCTGAGCGCTGGTGTCTGAGTTCACCTCTGAGGTTGAGAGAATGGTATTGGTGCCTGAGCTGAGTTCATTGATTCCTGGGAGTCTGAGAGTGAAAATGGAAACTAAGAAAGTGAGAAGATAGAAGGTGAAAACAGTGTTGGCCAGAGAGAGGTCATCGCCGGAGAGAGAGACGACATAGTTTTGGTGGCGCTAGCCGTCGGTGCTTGAGTTTGCAGAGTGAAAACGGTGCATTTGGGTTTGTCGGTTTTGAGAGTTTGAGAGTGAGAAACTGAAAATGAGAAGAAAAGTGAGAATTGAGAAGATAGAAGATGAAAACGGTGCTGGTTGGAGAGAGAGAGAGAGAGAGAGAGAGAGAGAGAGAGAGAGAGAGAGACCTAGTTTTGATGGTGTTGGCCGCCGGTTCCTGAGTTCGTAGAGTGAAAATGGTGCACCTGGGTTCGGCCAGGCTTTTTTGACAAATCTCGAACCCAACCCGTAAAATAGTCGAGATCGGGTTTTTAGGCCCGAGGTCAAGCCCACGGGCTAAAATGTATGTTCAAACCCGTTCGGGGGCCAGGCTGGGCCGGCCCGTCGGGCTACCCGATCCATGAACAAGTCTACTTGTCACTACTTTTAGCCGCACAGTCAAGGAGTATTTGCACACATTATGAATTTATGATATAAAGAAGATCTATATATTTGGAACCAAGAACATTATTAAACGTTTTATAATTGATTTATTTGTAAAATTGATAAAAACAATAATGAACTTGCTTATTGACATTTAAACGCCATTTGGTGCCACGTCGAATTGTAGTTCCAAGCTAGCTCGCTGGACCTAGTTAGCCTGAGCAGCCTAAAGGTAAAGAGGCGAGCTCGGAAGCCACAAAGACCGCTCCCCTCCTCTCCGGGTCGTCTCCTTTGTCCTCCGAGCTCCTGGTGACCCCAATGCTGAAGGACTTCAAAGTGCCTCCGCTGGATAAGTATGATGGGTCGTTCGACCCAAATGATCATGTAGATTCGTTCCAGTCCCAGATGCATCTAGCTGGGGTTGACGAATCCTGCATGTGCGTTGCCTTCTCTACGACCTTCAAAGGAGTAGCTCGCACATGGTACAGGAACCTTGCGCCAGGGACGATCAAGAGTTGGGCACAGTTTGTGCAGATGTTCACCTCGCACATCATCACCAGCAAGAAGTGTCCGAGGTCACAAGAAAGCCTCCTCAGCATAGTCCCGAGAGAAGGGGAGTCAATCCRAAGCTATATCAAACGCTTCAACGACACCTGTTTACAGATCCTTGACCGAGATCCCGCTGTAAGACTCACGRCAGCAAAGAAGGGTATTACCCACAGGGAATTCAAATGGCACGTAGTGGCAAACAAGCCCAAAGACGTCACCGAATTCCTTAAGCTCGCCGATCAGTTCATCGAGACCGAAGAGGAGATGAACCAGAAGAATGAAGCCCTAGCAGAGAAGCGAAAATGAGAAGATGACAACCCGAGAAATAGTGGCAGCAAATGGAGAAAAAGCAAGTCCCCAACCAGGGGAGGAAACAAGTCAGATCGGCATTCTCAGAGATTGAGAAACTGGTGTACGCGCTGGTTATAGCTGCTCGGAAGCTTCGTCCGTACTTCCAAGCCCACACCGTCGTTGTCCTCACCAACAAACCTCTGAGGCAAATCCTACTCAAGCCCAAGGTATCTGGCAGACTGACGAAGTGGGCCATCGAACTCAGCGAATACGACATCCGGTATGAACCTCGGACACAATTAAGGCCCAAGCCTTGGCCGATTTCGTTGCAGAATATACCTTCAGCGTCGTAATCCCTGGATTGATCGAGCTCGAGTATAGAGAGGAAGCTTCAACTAGCGCGACACCAATCCTGGTTAGAGCAAGGCCGACCTGGGACGAGGATCCCTGGATCCTCCATGTAGACGACTCATCTAATCAACAAGGAAGCGGGGCAGGCATTATTCTGTACGGTCCAAGCGGGGTGAAGCTGGAGTACGCACTTCGGTTCAAGTTTGTAGCATCTAACAATGAAGCAGAGTACGAAGCGGTGATCGCCGGGCTCACTCTAGCGAACGAAGTGCAAGCTAAACACACCGTCATCTGCAGTGATTTCCAGCTCGTGGTCAACTAGGTCACCGACGATTATGAAGCTCGCGACCCCACCATGGCTGCTTATCTATCCAAGGTCAGGGAAGTTCTACGCAGCTTCCAGTCCTATTTCATCATGCAGATTCCAAGGTCCGAGAACGCTGAGGCCGATGCCTTGTCCCGGTTAGCCAACACAAGCAGCAATACCATGAGGACTGTGTATATAGAGAATCTGCCTCGGCCCAGCATTCTCGGGGGGGGGGGGCAGAAGAGGTCGCTCTTGTTGCACAAGCATAGCTGAGCTAGATTAACCCACTCGTGAGCTACCTACTTCACGGGACCCTCCCTGCAGATCGCAATGCGGCTAAAAGGGTAGAGCGCCAAGTAGCCAAGCACGTCATGATAGACGGACGGTTGTACCGGAGATCCTTCACGCTCTCCTACTTGCGCTGCTTGTGACCCTTAGAGGCCGATCTCGTTCTTAGCGACACTCATGAAGGCCTGTGTGGCGGACACTTGGGGGGCAGGGCTCTCACCCAGAAAGCGCGGCGGCAGGGGTACTACTGGCCCACACTGAAGGGAAACACACTCGAGCTTGTTAAGAAGTGCGATAAATGTCAAAGGCACGCCAACATCCACCACCGACTTGCTGCCGACCTGAAGTATCTCACCAGCCCGTGATTCTTCGCACAGTGGGGAATTGACATTCTTGGCTCATTCCCGCCAGCGCCAGGACAGAGGAGATTCCTGGTAGTAGCAGTGGATTACTTCATGAAGTGGGTGGAGGCAGAACCCCTAGCAATAATCACAACCCACAACATACAAAATTTCTTTTGGAGGAATACAGTATGCTGCTTCGGGCTACCTCGGTGCTTATCTCTGACAACGGTAAGCAGTTTGAAGATATCAAGTTCCAGAGTTGGTGCGCCGAGATGGGGATACAACAGAACTTCACTTCGGTGGCACATCCTCAGGCAAACGGGCAAGCGGAAGTCACGAACAGAGCTATACTTCGTGGACTAAAGGCCTGCTTAGCCCGAGCTAAGGGACTATGGGTAGACGAGCTGCCCAATGTATTATGAGCTTACCAGACCACCGTTAAGACCGCCACGGGTGAAACCCCCTTCAACCTCACCTATGGCACGGAAGCGATAATCCCAGCCAAGATCGAGGTGCCTACATTATGCTTGGAGAATTACAATGAAGAAGTAAACGACGATGAGCTCTGTACCAACCTCGACCTGGTGGAAGAAGTACGGGACCTAGCGTACATTCGGACTACAGCCTAACAACAAAGGGTAGCTCGGTACTATAATGCCTGGGTCAAGAAACGACACTTCCATGTCGGCGACCTGGTTCTCAGAAAAGTCATGGTACCTGAGCCCGGTGTTGGTAAGCTCGGACCGAAATGGGAAGGTCCGTATCGAGTAAGGCGGGTACTCGGGGAAGGTACGTATGGGCTCGAAACCCTAAAAGGAAAACAGGTATCTCGAGCATGGAACATCAGCAACTTGAGGCAATACTACCTGTGATTGTCGAACTGGAGAGAGGACTATGAGTCACTCCTAGAAGTCTAAGGACTAAAGTGCCGAGCTGACAAAAGACCTCAGTGCCATGATAAGTCCCAGTTGCCTCCTCGGCATGGGCATACAAGACCCAGCCGCCTCCTCGGCATGGGCATACAAGACCCAGTCGCCTCTTCGGCATGGGCAAAACCAAGGGTAAGGGGAGCGAACTGTAAGTTGCTACCAAAGCCTAAGGGTTAAGGTGCCGAGCTGACAAAAGACCTTGGCACCTCATAAGTCACAGTCGCCTCCTCGGCATGGGCATACAAGTCCCAGTCGCCTCCTCGGCATGGGCAGACACGACCTAACCGCCTCTTCGGCATTGGCAACTCATTTCATGCCTAAGGTATAGACAGCTCAGGTATAAACCCTACGATGTCTAACCCACCTCGGCATACAACAAAAAAGTTGAACCCTAGCAAAGGGACAACTAACATCACCGTAGCCCGTGCACAGACAGGTCGGGTAGATACCCTACAATTTCCACGCACCTTGGGTACATCGTGCGAAGTTACCCCTACTGGCAGTCCAGCTCGGTAGCTCGACAGTTCAGGGTAACCTATACCTATTTGGTTAGTTCGCCAGTTAGAGAATTATTTGCACTTAGAACATTTGGGCAAAAAAGTGTATTTCATTAATATGAGAAGCTCGTTACAAAAAAAAAGGAGAGAGAAAATTCTCTATAACCCGAGCTCGCAGGCCCGGGATATACAAGGAAGACTTAGTGCTCTTTGTCCTCGCTCGAGGCCTCAGCAGGAGGATCAACCCTCTCGTCAGCACTAGCCTCTCCGATGTCAAGCAGTTTGCCGTTAGTCTCTGCCTCATAGTCCGGGTCTTCGACGGCCTCGATGGCCATTTCACTTGTAACCCTCGAGGTGGTGATAGCGCTCAGATCGAGCTGCGGGAACTCGCGCTTGGTCAGCCACCTGTTGAGCTTGAAGYCCTTGCGGTAGCCTTCCATCCCGACTTTGAATAGCTGCCCTTGGAACTCCTCCGAGCT